AAAACAAAGATGTGCAGGTGATTGTGTTAGAGCAAGAACCGGGTGCATCTAATGAGTTGTACTGCAACGCTTGAGGGTACATCAGGGGGTCAGTACAAAGATGTGCAGGTGATTGTGTTATCTGGTGCATCTTATGAGTTGTACTGCAACGCTTGAGGGTACATCAGGGGGTCAGTACAGAGATGTGCAGGTGATTGTGTTATCTGGTGCATCTTATGAGTTGTACTGCAACGCTTGAGGGTACATCAGGGGGTCAGTACAAAGATGTGCAGGTGATTGTGTTATCTGGTGCATCTGATGAGTTGTACTGCAACGCTTGAGGGTACATCAGGGGGTCAGTACAGGGATGTGCAGGTGATTTTGTTACCTGGTGCAGCAGATGACTTGTACTGCAACGCTTGAAATTAGATGTTCAGTACAGATATATGCACATGATTGTACAGCAGCGCCTGAGCTTTAGTAGTTTCTGTTAACATTTAAACTCCCAAGCTGATTAACACAATGCATAGAATCTAAGTTTAAACCTAAACATGAACCATGTAAAATTTAAGCTGAATAGAAATTTAAGATACAGATTTAGTGACAATTTGATGATGTTAAGAAATCCAGCACTTAATATTTTCTCATATCGTTCCCTTGTAAATACAACTATAACAGGCGCATCCCTTTAATTAAAATGTTCATCCGGTAACTAGTCCATTGCTCCCACTATAGGGAAATGATTTTACTAATGCTGCGACTTTATAGCTAACAACAAATGACTTAAAACAATCTCCAGGAGAAAATTGTAGTCCGTCTACAACCTCTCGATATTATTACATTGCGCCAATATGGTACTAACAAGCCAACTTAACGCTTTTTACTTTAACATAAAATGTTCCTATTTTTATGACATATTTTTTCAAGTAGAAATAAGTACGATGCTTAATTCCAGAATGAAATGTTAGCGTTAGGACCGTGTTATTTCATTTCATTAAGTTGAATATATCTTTTTTTAGTTATAGGCCCAATAGCAAATCGAGTGTGTGGGGGGGGGGGGAGGAATGTAGTTGTAAAACTCTAACATGAGTTAAATACCGTATCTCGAGATTGCATCATATCTTTCAACGAACCGTATACACAAAATCGTCCAATGCACCAGGGCATGAAGTGAAAATTTAGAAACCTGAAGAAAACAAACGGGTTTTGCTGGTGAGAAGATGTTTGTTAGAAAATCAACTTCCTAATGCGACTCAGACTGTACGTGGGGCTATTCCTTAGTAGAGAAACTTAGACCACTATGACACTCGTTTCCTAATCTGTAGTGTTCCAACTCCATTGCTGCCATTTGTATGAATTAAGGTACCTTTTTTTTTTAAATAAATAAATTATTCTAAGTGTTTTAAGTGAATTTGAATTCTTACGTTCTATATCAACATAGTCATGAATCATTTTACTAAGCTACAAATATTTTTTTTGGTAACCAAGCTGATAATTACACGTATAATGAGTAATGTGTCAAAGAAAGGAATATAATGTGATACAAAAATGGTATGTATTTGGACCTTCCTAAAAAAAATAGTGACAATTTTTTGTGTGTTTTGGCTTGGAAAAAAATCGTTATTAAATTTACAATATATAATTGAATTGTATTATAAAATAGAATAAAAATAAAAATTCTTAATGTATAAATGTCAATTTAATTTTTAAGCTGTTATTTTTTTTATTTTACTTGTAAACCGTAATCCAAGTACATTTATATTTTGTTTAAATATTCGATTATGGTCTGTGTTAAGGTTAGATGCTTCATAAATAGGAATAAAGATTCCTCTTTAGACCTAATCCGTTCGGCAAATGAAGTGGAGTTCATGTTTCTCGACCTCTGCACATTAAGGGATAATGTGTTCAGCACTATGCCCAGCTGCCATTACTTTCCCTAACGTGAGTCAGGTACCCATCAGCGTTGGGTGGACTCAGAGACATTTCACTTACTTGAACCCGGATTCTAAGCGCTATACCGCTGTACCACGCCGTCCATCATATAATTATATAGCTTTAAATAAAATTTAACATATCATGTTACAGATGTTAAGCATCTTTTAGTTAAGTGCTTTCTTGAATTGGTGTGTACTGATGTATAAGCAGTGAGTTGTAGGATGATAAATTAAGCACTTTTTGACTGAGACTAAGTTACAATACATTTTAACTAAGTGTTCTCATGCTTACAGTGTTTTTTTATATTATTGATTTTTTGTATCTTTTTAAAAGTCGTGTTAAGCTACTGGATTATGTTTTTTCTCACAGAGAATAGATGAACAGTTATGTGTATTAACAAAGCTAACACGTCACACATTTAATTCGAACTCGAGACGTTCGAGTTAGCAGTCCTGTGCTCTGCTGTCCGACCACACCGATACACACGCAGGGACACAAACACCCGTACATACACACGGACAAACACACTCACTTACACATAAACACGTGTACGTTGACATAAATGCAATCACATACACACATTTACGCACGCATAAATACACCCCCCCCCCACAAACACACATAAGCAGACACACACACTTACACAAAAGCACACATGCGCGCGCGTACCCGCATTCGCACGAACACACACACAAACACAAATGCGCACACACACTCCCTGGATAATTCCAGCAGGAAGGTAAAAAAAAATGTTTAACTTGACCAAACCAAGTGACACCTGCTTCTGAACTGTGACAATATTTGACAGGTAATTGAGTTCAAATGCGGATACATTATTTGAAATTGAATCATTTCGACAAACCATCTAATCAAATATTTGAATTTAAAATACCGTTGAACATAACAGGGCTGCCGTTACTCGCAATTTATTTTGTCAATGATACTATTTAGAATTTAGATTACTTTACCTCTGTGTATAGACCCTAAATCTTTTTCCTCGTTGTTTATCTAAATCTGTTTTTTTTTTCGTTAAAATCTATGTTTGGCTTTGCAGTTAGTTTCGAAAGCGGGAAAAGCCATTTACTCATATATAATTTGGTTCCGATAATGCCTATGTATAATACAAGTATCTAAAATTTGTGGACAAAAATAAACACGAAGAAGCGTCAATGTGAAACAAAGTCATCTTCCAGAATTATTCCTATTCTGTATAATATGTATACGAACCCTGTATATTTTTACCTTTTTGAATGCCGGGATTTCAAGTAAAACAATTTTTATGTAGAGAATATAGTTAAGCTTCTAATCGGAGTTTTCAGGTTATGTTTATTATTAAATTTAGGTTTAGTGTTTCAACTATGCCTTAACTTACGTTTACAAAAATGTAATCGATTTTTGTTAATTCCCTAAATCTGCCTTTTGAATTGATTGATTACTTATAGCGTACCAACTACTACTAAATAAAAAGCTTTGTAGTTGTTTTAGTATAATATCTAAACTAAAGGTTTCACGTATAATAATGTAAGACCGGTGAGTAGTATTTTAGAACATACTTGTGCAACAAACCGTATTATTGAGGAATGGCTAATTTTTAGAATCAGGCAAACTGTAGGTACATATATATGTTTATTTATAAATGCTCTTTAATTTAAACTGCCTCAAAACATAATATCTGAGTAAACATTTAAATGTAGCCATGGCTGTATATTGCTGAAACAACTCCTGGTCGATACGGCTAGTAATAAATAAATATATCAAAATCTGAAGGTTTTGAGAAACTGGATTTGAATAAAATACCCCTTCCGGTTATCGGAAACGCTCAAAAGTTGGAAGAAATCTACGTACAGAAGCTAATATTGTATATATGAAATAGTTTCTACCTAACTAAAACTGTACTCAAGATTTTGTGTTTAAATACATACACGCGAAATTGCATAACTCCATTTTCCGACTCAGGGAGGTGTAAAACGTTGATTTTTTGCGCAATTACAATACTTTTTCTAAATTCTGTTTAAACTAAACATTATGCAATTGTACAACATACTTTGAAAATGAATTCAAAGATTAATTTGTTAATAATATTTTGAAAACTACTTGTATAACATTATTTTTTTTATAATAAACCTTAATTGTTTGAATTAAATACGAATGCTCATTTTCAATACTTTTTTTTAAGATTTAATAATTAGTTTGAATAAAACTATATGCAAAGTCATTGCGTAATTGTGTATTTTGTTTTTAATGTTACAACAGTTGTATTGGTCACTGACCTCTACTGTAAAAAATAAACCCACTACTGCTGTGATATATCACTGACCCTTCTATAAAAGGACATAATAGTTGTGACATCAATCACTATATCCCTCTGGTAAATAGCTACAGCTGATGTGATATATAACTAACCCTTCTATAAAAGGACACCATAATTGTGACATCACTCACCGACCCCCTTCTGTAAATAGCTGCTACTTTTGTTATATATCACTAACCCTTCTATAAAAGGACACAATAATTGTGACATCACTCACCGACCCCCTTCTGTAAATAGAAACTGTTGTGATATATTACTGACCCTTCTATAAAAGGACACCATAATTGTGACATCACTCACCGACCCCCTTCTGTAAATAGCTGCTACTTTTGTTATATATCACTGACCCTTCTATAAAAGGACACCATAGTTGTGACATCATTCACTGACCCCCAGTGGAGTAGTGAGGTCGGGTGTCACCAGGTGCGGCACTTAATGGTGTCACCCCCCCCCCCCCACCTCCCAGTAGCGACCTTTCCTCCCGTGGACAATCTTTCAATTTTCGATTTGCACCCCCCCCCCCTTCAAACGTTCTATATATTTTGCTATTTTTTGCCTTAAGTCACCCCCCCCTAAATGGTGTCACCCGGTGCGATCCGCACCCCCCCCCCCTCGCTACGCCTCTGCTGACCCCTCCTGTAAAAACATCCTGCAGACGCCCTTGTGTACCAGCTGAACAGACGAACATTTTCAAGTGCAGAAACTAGAAGTATCGGACATCCGTTTTCCTTTTCTGTAGCCGTGTAGGGTAGTATTTAGACAACAACACACTTTGAAGTTGTTGTTTTTACTTTTTTTAAACTTCGCATTCTATTCGTACACAAGTAAAGTTTTATTTTGTTTTATACTGACTCATAATTTGGTTGGAAAAAAAATGTCACTATCCAATTACTGTTGTTTTTGAGAGCTGCAAAATTTCAAAAATGTATCCATTGTTAATATTTAATTAAAACATACACAATTTTGATGTTTTAATAGTTATATAAGAATAATCAGTGTCTCTATGCAAGGCCATTATTCAAGGTAATGAATTAACGTTTTTTGTTTTAAAATGTTTCATTTATTTTATTTTAATTTCACTCCTTTAGAAATCTTTTTCACACACAATTATTTCACAATGAGTAGACTACTGTATGATTGTATCACCCAGGAAGTTTAACAATGGAATGCCCCCACTCTGATATCATATTCTAAAGTGTGTCAATTACTATTGATAACCCTGAACAGTTCCAAACGGTACTTCTGATTAAAACTAAGTGGACTATTTTTATAGTAATTTATATAGTATATTTCTGTTGCTGGTAGGTGTCGTACAAAATATTCAAACAACAGATAGTTCTAGGTAGTGCAATATGAGTAATTTAACATATTTTATTTGCTGTTATTCTAGTACCAACTTTGTATATAAAAAAAAATAATAAGGTATACAAAGTTGATGTGAGTATACCAATTTTTTAAAGCTTATTACTCTAGTAACTAAATAGCAATTCTAAGATATTCTAACACAGACACATACACACTCACACACACAGACATATATATATATATATATATATATATATATATATATATATATATATATATATATGTATGTATTTATATATGTATTTATATATGTATGCATGTATTGTATCATTTCAGTATGTCGAAGATGCCTTTCGGGAGTCTCTATCTAACGGTTATGTTGTTATTGGTTACAATAATACCAAGTTCTAGATCTTGTAAAAGTAAATCCGGTGGTGCCGCCAACCCCGAAAAACAAGAACCAACGGGTCCCAGCTGTTATGTTATCAGCTATAACAGCAGCTGTTATTTGTTTGGTAACAAAAACATGACTTTCCCAGAGGCTTATACATTCTGTCAACAACATGAAGGAATATTGAGCGAGTTCAGCTACGATTCATTTCTTAAGGTAAACTACATTAAATATATTCTCATGGTGTGGTTTAATAAAAAAATCAATTTGGTTTAACCGTCCAGAAATTAATTCCGTTGTAGAAGTTCGACATTGTCTTATCATTAGTCTATTTTGTTTTGGCAGTTAAATAAAATTACCTTGTTTTGTTTTATCAGATTTGTTGTAATCAACTTTCATAACTTAATTAAATCTTTAATTTTTAAAAATTCTATTCTCAACATAAATGCTCAATAAAACACGTGGTTAGTTATCTTTTTCGTTATTAATTCTAGTGTTGAAAAAGATCCCCTCCAACACACTTGAGTGTATGTGTCAACTGGTTATGCGCCATTGGGGCCATTGACTCCGATTTCAGCCTGCTTTTCTTTTTGTATTTGCTTCAATAGTTTTTGTTCAACCAAGAACAAACTACAAGGCAGCAGTTGTTTTATTTTGGAGTTTTCTTTTCTAGAAGAGGTGCTGCCGAACCTTATCTGCCCTAGGGTTCGAAATCGAGAGATTTCGGTTTAGCAACCATGAACTATACCGACGTTAACCTTTACCTTGGCGACTATATTCAATTCATTTTGCAGTGTACAATTCTTAATAACCGTCTCAAATCGACTACTTGAGTACAGTTTCCTGGATGTTATTTTATTGTATTTTATGACCAGGATAACAACGAAAGCGTCATCCAGGGCGTGTATTGGATTGGTCTCTTGTGGGTCAGCACACTGGACACCTGGGTCTGGGCTAGCGGTGAGTGTATGGCCATCTGATGAACCATGTTGTACTCATGACTTCTTTTTTTAATAGTAGGATAAACTTCTTTTTTAAATCAAAACAGGCTTAAGGACATATAGGGGTCGTCAATAAAAGACATCACACTCTTATGAAGTGGTGGTCGGACAACTAAACAGATTTAATGACATATGGGGGTCGTCCATAAAAAATGTCACACTCTTTGTGGGACTTGAGTTCGAACTTTTGTGACGAAGTGTGTAGACGGGAGGGGAGGGGGGGGGGGGCAGAAAAGTGTGATGCCACACTTTTGCATAATAATAAAAAGTAAAGTTAGAAACTAAATTTTAGCCGTTCTTTTTTTTTCATTTTTTAAGTCTCTTGTTCTAAGTTGTAAAGAAAGTAATATACTTAATGTCGACCGTGCACATTAAGTGTTTTAGAAATAAATTGACGTTTTAAAGAGCAAAAACTGCAATTTTGTGATTGTCGGTTTTTACGAGGGAAGAGGGTGGTTTAAGAAACTATGAGAACGGGGTGATGTCGTTTTTTTTTGGATGACCCCTGAAATAAAAGTAAAATTTTAAAAATCTACCTATAATACCTAATACAGTGTGTGTATTTTTTTTTTAGGGTCCACTTTATCAATCCCAGAACTTCACGTCGAAAACACAACATCACCAGACAGCAACTGTACTACTGTGCAGGCGAATGGTCTGGACGTGTTTCGAACCTCGTGCTCGGAGAAGTACACCCCGGTTTGTAGACTGAGTAGGTATACTTTCTGGATTATAATTTAATTGGTATCGTGGTCATTTTAGACAACTTCATATCAATAAAGGATGGTGTTGTTACTGTATTGTATTGCATTAGTATAATGTATGAAGGTGGGTCGAGTATGTAACCTTTATGTGTTATGTAATATGTGCATGATTCACACGGTAGTCGGGCGATTGCCTAAAAGACACTAGCCCAAATACAATTTTCCAGAACTGATTTATCGAGATAAAGCACAAATGCGATATATTTCCGAAAGAACGTTTGCCCAAATGCGACAAATGCCCGAATGCATGGTTACCAGAATGCCATAGAACTCGAAGGCAGTTTGTCAACAACAAAAAATTGTGATATTATATTAACAAACTCAGTGAAGCTGTTGTTTTATGCATGATGCATATTTGTTTTCAACTGTAATAGTTTCAATCTGTGTTTGAAGTGCTTTCACGCACTGAAATTAAGCCCAGTGGCTGCCACACTGGTTTAAAAGAATTTTCTATTAAACAATAAAGCGAGTAGTTTGGGGTGGTGGGTGGGGGAATAATACTAAGTGTAGGCCTACACCGTGTGATGCCTTTAAAACCATCGTCGTCATTACCCCCCCCCCCTCCACACCAACTCCACCTCACGCTCCTACGCCCACGGTTGCACACAGCACGTGCTTATGTTGCTCACACCAGTAGTGGGTGTGGCTTGTCGAGTGACTCAGGACACTGAAGTGGGATGAAATATCTCCAAGTGGGGAGACTCACGCGAGTTGGACGGCTACATCCGGGGGTTTTTGACCCGTTTAATTATGTCAATGGGACGGGAAAAGGATGGGGATTGATGTATGTTGAATGCGATTAAAGAGTGAAGTTACAGCACTGAATGTAAACACAGTGACAGATATATGTACGCATGGCATGCCCAGCGAATTACGTTGGAATCAGAAATGCTTCCAGTTATCTCTCGGTGGAAGTGGGGGGGGGGGGGGCAGCAGCGTCTGCTGTGCCCCGCCCCATTCGTGGATGAATTAGAAATAATACATAATCTATATCGGAGAAAATAAATACTTTAGTCTATGCCCCCCCCTGGAGATTTAAGATGAACCCCCACCCCACCGCCGTACATTTTGATTCCTCCCTCCCAACCACCGAAGAAAAATTGACTGAAAAAAAAAACAATCTATGTCTGAATCTAGTTTGGATCATCCTTATTTATGCCCCTTCACCAAGGGTTTACCCGCCGTAGTGCCTGACACAAATATTGTTTAGACATTTTATTATTCAATGATGTACACTTCAAACACATGTGACCCTGTGACTTAAAAAATCAATATTTGAGGTCTAAATCTTTAAAGTTTAATAAAATATAATAACATAAAACAAAATTCGATGTGTGCAATCTCAATGTTGTATCACCACCGATTGTCTACAGCTTAATACACACATCAATCGACACATTTAAAAAAGGCATTTTAAAATTATGATTGTAAAATTAAGAATGATGCATGGCGATTAGGACTCTATTTTTTAAAAAAATAAACAATTGACGTGTTACAGTAAATACTGGGGGAAAAAAATTGGCTCAATTTACTGGTATACAAAAATAAATAAAACAACACGAGTTTGTTCACATGAGTTAAATGATGAAACACATAGTTTTGAATCTCATTTAAATTAATTATATATCTTGTGTAATCGCCTGTTGATTTTGACACAAGAAACGGCAGCAGATCAACATTATACATATCTCCCATTTTACTTGTGTACCCAAAGAAATATGGGACGGAGTGGTCTAGCGGTAGAGAGCTGGACTGCTAACTCACGTTAGGGAATGTAAAAGCGGCTGGGCATAGTGCTGACCACACTATCTCTTCATTTGCCGAGGTCACAGAAATAAGTGAACTCTACTTTACTTGCCCCATAGACCGTCACGTTTAAAAGGGAAACTTACCCGAAGCAATAAAACTTAACACTAGTTTGTTCACAAGATTTAAATGATGAAATAATAGTTTTGAATTTGATTAAAACTATCCATTATTCTTATGTAATCGCCTTTTCATTTAGACACAAGAAACTGCAACATAACAACATTGGCAGGACTCAACTGTGTTGGTCCCACAAAAGAAAGTAGTTCTAGTACTAGCAGCAGCTCTGTAGATCCAATCCCGGAGGATCCAACGATAGGAATCCATGAGGGTCCAACGATTGGTATCTATGACTGTGGTCCTAACGCCCCACCCAATAGCACTGGAACTGTGAGAGACAAGGCTAAATTCGTCGTCTCGGATGAATGCGTTAACGATAAGAAGTGTGACGGGAAACGTAAGAATATTTATGTAGCTTAACAAAACACTTGCAATTTTAAATGACGTTGAGTTTTGATGATATATAAATATTAATAATCTTAGAAATCTTTACATAGTTGTAGCATATTTTTTTTTTTATATTTTAGTTCCAATTTAATTGAATTTCCCAAAATGTAACCGTTTTTTTAAATGTTTCTCAAGCAAATTTTAAAACTACAATTTCAGATTTTATTTTGATCATCTGCATAGCATCAGCATTGGGGATTTCAGTCATCGCCAACGTTGCTCTTATTTGTAAACTGTACGTAAAATATACATTTCTGTTCTAATATGGTTTTGGGAGAGCGTGGCCTAAGCGGTAGAGCGGTAGACTTCTAACCCGTATATAATTGAACTGGCAAAAAGCATATTTCTTCTATATATTTTCAACATGATCCCTTCCAACACTAAATATTAAGAACGAAGAAGAAGAAGAAGAGTCACCCCCTAAATGGTGTAAACCGGTGCGGTCCGCAATCCCGCACCCGCCTCTCGACGCCTCTGAGCAGACTTTAATACATCATATCAAATGTCGCCATTTGCATTGATTTAGCTAGGTCTAAGAAGACAGTCGTTTTAAACAGTGGCGTCACTAGGTTGGGTGTCACCCGGTGCGATATCTGCGAGTTTCACCCCACCTTCTCACAAAATCTAGCATTTTTAGTCCGGTGTCCCTAGGGAGATTAAATTTTATTTTTTATTTTAACTGGATAAAAAAAAATGTTTGAACTGTAAAGTTGAAGATTTTTGGCCTGGTCCAGAGTTTCTTCCAGGCATCTCTCGCCACCCCCCCCCCCCCTCCCCCCGAACGAAATGAAATTTATATAGAAAAAAAAATATATTTAACAGTGTCTGCCACCTAAAAAAGTCTGCCGCCCCCCCCCCCTCCCCCCGAAAATAAATTTCAAGTGCCCCCCAGGAGAAAAAAGTCTGGAAGAAACACTGGCCTGGTGTCAACCCTAAATAGTGTCACTCGGTCCTAACTGCACCCACCCACCGCCTTGTGACGCCAATGGTTTAAATATAATTGAGCAAAAATAATAAAGACACAATATCAAGTTTCTATCTTTATAAATTATAAACATATGACGTGGTTCATGTGTGAAAATGCCCTCCTTTTTTTGTGACAACCCAAACAAACTCAATTTAGACATTGTATTAAAACATTTTATAATACAGTTACAGTCAGAGGCGTAGCGATGGGGGGGGGGGGGCAGGGGGTACATATGTCCCCGGGCGCCGACCTTAAGGGGTGCCAAAATGGGTTGTAAAAACAAATTAAAATGTTATTTTAGCTGCATTTTTGCATTATAAATATTTGGGGGGGGGGGGGGGGGGGTGCAAATCGAAAGTTTGAGGGGGTGGGTGCAAATCGAAAGTTTCAGGGGGGGGGTGCAAATTGAAAATTTGCTCCAGAGGGGGGCGCCAAATTGAAAGTTTGTCCCCGGGCGCCGGGAAGGGTCGCTACGCCTCTGGTTATAGTCAGTGTTTCTTCCAGACTTTTTTTCTCCGGGGGGGCACTTGAAATTTTCGGGGGGGGGCGGTAAACTTTCTTCGGGGGGGGGCGGACACTGTTAAAAGTATATATTTTCTATATAAATTATATAAATTTCATTTCGTTCGGGGGGGCGGTAAAAAATTTTCGGGGGGGCAAAGCCCCCCCGAAGAGATGCCTGGAAGAAACTCTGGTTATAGTTTAAAGCTACTTGCAACTAGCTTATATCAATTTCTTTAAATGCTTTATTTTTTTTTTCTCGACAGCTGTTTCCGTAAAGGTAAGCACTTCTTCAGGGACAAGAGTTCCTTCCACTCACGCTCCGAACCCAACGTCAAAACGGATTCGATTCTGGTGTATTCTAGATGCGACAACAACGACAACTCAGCCCTTCCGGTCTTTCCCGCAACCATTCAGGAAAAACCCGAACAGGACCTCTACGCCAATGACGAAGATGAAAACCGCTATTCGGATATTCCCGGTGACGTTTACTCCAACACTGTTTCACCAAATTCTGAATTCCCAAAAACTTTTAAGGGCCTAGAAATAAATGTTAGTCATTTAGCGGACGAGCAAAGAAATAAGAAACCGCATCTTGGAGTTAGCCTGCTAGAAAAGGAAGGGAAGCTTAACACCAGTGACAATGAAACATACTCTCATCTCAATCACAACAGCACTGGCAATTTGTCGCAGAGAGGCTATACAGAGAACGTCTATGGTGACGAAAGCGTTACAGAACTCAACTAGCCTCACTTTGGTGGAGGTGTGGGGGGGGGGGGGGGGGGGGGGGCTCCCATTCAAAAAGTTCAAGCTGTGTTGCCCGTATGGAGACAAAGCATACACTACAGCAAGGGTCTCCAAACTACGGCCCGCGGGCCCTCTCATCCGGCCCGCGGAGATCTTTTTGTCCACGGAGAAAACGTTTGTTGGTGATGGCTGAGGAACTTTGCCCAGAAAAATCACGACATGTCTGGAAGAAACTGGCCACCGAACTGAAATTTGATAGTTAATGCGGCCTTCGGACTGAAAAGTTTGGAGACCCCTGCACTACAGGCATGAAACAAGAGTACAGAGACTAACAGAAACTTGCAGACAGCGTTTCTTTCTGTACTTTTTCTTCAAAGGGAATTGTTGGATCTTAAAACTTCTGGTGGGGGGGGGGGGGGGGTGATTGAAACTTTAATGTTTTTTTTTTATTTTGTCCAGGGAGTAGGGGGGTGGTAGTGGCCTCCATCGAAGAGATGCCTGAAAGAAACACTGCATGAATCCATATTCTATACTTTGATTAAATGCATTTAATGTTTTAAATAACATGACGATACTTTATTCCCAATGTGTAACTGAAAATTGCTGACCTGTTTGCTGTCCAGTTTAGTGTTTTTGAGATGTTGTTAGCACCAGTCGTTTGTATTTGTAGGCATTATTGTGTTTATTATTGTTTTACATGCCATTAGTCTCTGTGTTAGAGTTTCTTTGTCTGTAATTTTTCTAACAGTAAATAAACATTTTTGTGAAACATATGACTTGGTTACTACTTTAGTACCTCAAACAAACACCATAAATCAAATAATTACATGGCTGATACACGGAGAGTGGCACAAACTACTACATGCTTTCGTTAACGGATGCCTGCGTCGCATATTGAGCATCAGGTAGTGGCCAACACCTAACTATGACAAAAAAAATAATAATGTCGATGATGATGATGATGTAGCCGATACATCATACAACATAAAACGCAGCTGCTAAATGTCAAGCTATATATATACATTTTTAATTTCTGCTATTTAGTTTATAAATCACTATAAATGTTTACTTCATAGATTTACATCCCAGGATGGTCTCTGCGGAGGCGTGACAAGTTTACCATAAATGAATAAACTGCATAACCTATATAATATATTATTGTACATATATATATATATATATATATATATATATATATATATATATATATATATATATATATATATATATATATATATATATATATATATATATATACATGTAATTTGCTAGTACGAGGAAGTTAAACCAACCCACTATCTCAATAGTATGAAACATTACAAGTAACTCTCTAGTGTAAACACCCACGCATTACAACCATTCGCAGAGGTAAACAGGCAAAATCGAGGCGGGTCCACAGGAAATAAATTCGATAGGCCCCAGTAACCGTGCTGGAATAATCCTATAGGGGTTCAGTTATTTTTTTTTTTTTTAAATAATGCGCTGGTTTTTCTTCAATTTAATATTTTCATAGCAGAGCGTAAAATTCATGCTTTGATGGAGAAGAAAAAACATTTACATTTAAATTTTTAATCTGGGGTGGTGGCTCCTTTTTAAAAATCTCCCTAAAATTAGAGCTTAGTTTACAATATGAAGACCTAAATTTCGCCCTCGGCTCACAGGGTAAACATGTAGGATGAGCCAGAATAATGATAACTACTGTAATAAAAAATTAATTGAAAGGTATTACATGAGAGAGCCTCTATGATTCTCTACTATAGCACAAGAAATGTCTCTTTTACTGTTCCTACGCACATTGCCTAAATCAGCAGAATTTTTTGTCTTCCCTTCCTACATTTTAAATAACATAGATGTTGAAATTATATAGAAAATATATACTGTAAACACTGTTGCGCCCCCCCCCCCCCCCCCACCCCCCATCCCGGGTTCAGAGTTTCTTCCTCACCCAAACAATGGAATTTCTATAGAAAAATACATTCTTTTAACAGTGTCTGCCCCCCCCCCTGGAGAAAACAAAGTCTGGAATTAACACTGCACTCACCCGGGTAGCTTTATGTGAACCACCCAACCCTTCCACACCTCCGCGAGTAGGAAAAAATGCCCCCCCCCCCCCCACCAAAGAAACCTTATATGTAGCTTGCATCAAAGTAAATATGAGTGGAAAACATTACTTTTTGCCTAGTGTGATCCTAGACACCACGAGTGAGTCTGTGCTTCCCACCTAGACGTACAACGGGTCACATGCTAGCCTATTTAACGTTGTAGCCTATTTATGTTTATCGTGGCCCATGTGTAAACTTTATAAAACTTTATAATATCTACATAGGCCTATATATATATATATATATATATATATATATATATATATATATATATATATATATATATATATATATATATATATATATATATATATATATAGTTGCAATTGGTGTTACCCCCCCCCCCCTCCCATTTAGCCTATTAAATGGCATCGATTTGTGCACACATTATATAAATCCACCTACTGATTAATGCAAACAAGCATTGTTTTCATTGTAAATTATTAGACTTTAGTGTCACCCCCCCCCTCCTTTAGCCTATTAAATGGCATCGATTTGTGCACACATTATATAAATCCACTTACTGATTAATGCAAACAAGCATTGTTTTCATTGTAAATTATTAGACTTTAGTGTCACCCCCCCCTCCTTTGTCGTTGATTGACTTGTTATTTAAAAGACTCAACAAAACCTTTTTTACTTTGTACATTTCAAATAGGTCTCCCGCCCCCCACCCCCATCGCCCCACTCCTGGGTGATAGTTTTAAAATGTGCACAGGTAATGGTAAAGATGTTTGTGTATAGTCACTTACTAATACATATGGATTAATTCAAATTAATCACTGAACTGGCAAAAAGCATACCTCTTCTGTATTTTTTACATATTTTTCGCCATTGTGTCACCCCCCCCCCCGTAAGGCTAAGTCAACTAAGTGAAAGTATAACTTTAGTTTGTTTTGTTGAAATAGCATAATTTTAATAAAACCCTTCACAATATAAAAACAACAATAAAGAGTTTATCGAAACGAAATCTAAATATACACTTTCGTTTTTCAAGTTCGTTACCTAGGCCTAAGCTCAGTTAACAGTTAGTTAGTAAGTAGGCCTAACTAATCTCATTTACAGAAACAAAACTACATATTAAAGTATTAGAATCTAGTAATTCTAGATGTATAGGCCTATAATATTATTAGATTTATAACTGGATTTTAACAGACCAAGCAGTAAAAAAATATCAATTTGATTCAGATTCATCATTCATGATTCAGAGTTAGTCTTTAACTTAGGTTGTAGCATTCAAAATTAATTTTTGAGTATTTAATCTTAAAATCATATGAGTTAGTTAGAGGAAGGATTAAGAATTCCATTGGTACCAAATTTATATTTCTAGCTTCAACAGGAGAGGAGAAATAATTTTTTTTCTGTTTAAAATGTATGGTCTTATATAATCTCTGTAAAAAATGAAACTAGTGGGAAACAAAAATGAAAATTTTATAAAATATGTTTGCAAAACATTTTTGAATTCTAATGATAAATTATGAATCAGGGGTGTTTCCTTTATGTAAATTTGCATTAATAATTGTGCAGGCTTGTTTCTGTTTGATGTTATGCTTTATTTTTAAAAATGTACATTTTTACTATGACTAATTATATAGGAAAAAACAACATGACTGATAAAGGTCCAAATCTTTAAAAATTCATAAAAAATGTATTTGTAAAATTCTATCCCAATTTCTTTATAAAATAAGAACCACAAGTGGTTTATTTAACTGATTTTGCATAGTTTTGTGTGCAGGCAAGTGTTTATATATTAAAATAAAGTTGATTTAGAGCATATATTGTTTTCAAATCAATTTTTTTATAGGCAAAAATGAAAGAAAATCAAAAGTAATTGCATTAGGCTATAGCTGAACCTCAGTAGATTTTGAAAATGTAGTTGCTTTGTGTATTGGAAATTAATAAGATATTAATTTAAAATTAATAAGAGACAGTGGTAAAAACAAAATTTGAAAAATCAGTCAAGAGCTCTGGGCAGGTTTTTGTATGAAAATTATCTCCCTTTGTTCTAATGCTACATACTACTTTAACTTAAAGAAAAGATCAGTCAGAGACTGGCTGATGTGAGGTCTGATGTAACCGATATCCTGATGAGAAGTTGATGAACCTGAACCACCACTGACCAATACGCAGTACACACCACTGTCAAATTGAAATTAAATTGAAAGTTAAAGAACATTGACCTGTTACTTGTGCCCACGAGAGACTTATAAATGATGCAGCTTTCAATGTCATTTTCTAAACTTAACCATTTCAAAATCCAAACGAGGAAAATTCGTCATTATCTGTCTGAGTTGAAGCAGCTCTGTGCAGGAGGAACAACACAGGTAATTGAAAACGAAGACACTTTATTTAATATTTATGAATAATAGGCCTAAACAGTCTATTTTTGTATTATTTTCTTCGAAGTGACTACAGTGCACTACACGTCTTGCAGAGCGTGGCCCCTAAGGAATAGACTACGCGTCTTGCAAGTTGGATTTGCCATATCGTAATTGAAAATGCTTACTTTTTACTTCTCTATCACATCCAGTGTGGTTGAGTCAACAGTGTGCCAGCTGTAAACTGTAGTTCTTAGACCCGGAGTTCCCAGTTCGAACCCGGGGTTAGCTCGGCCAGTACTATTTTTTAATACATTTTTTCATATTGAAAATATGACGTAGACTATGATTCTTTTTTTTTTTTTTTTGTAAAGTTTCCAAGCATCGTCACTGGCGTGATTGCTTGCTTGCCTTACGTTTACTATCCCGTGAGTGGAAAAACCCACCACGGCCCACGGTTGGCGAGATCACTGTGAGTTCAGCAGGCCTAAAGCATACGTCATAGAATGAACACAAGTTCGCGAGATCATCTGTCTTCACTTCTCTCTTCCTCAAGCAAATTGAAATATTTTTTTTAAGTTCACATAGGATAAATAATATAGACTTAGATCTATTATCACGCATGCTAGATAGCTAGGCCTAAAGGTTAACGTATTGACACTACACTGTATTGTTTTTTTACAAGTGCTAGACTCTTTGGTCTTGAAATAATAATAAATACACTTAAACTCGATCTAGATCTATGTCAACATTAAATTGTTACCATGAAAAAAAAAATCGGGCAGTCATGATACTGATATCTGTTGTTTTTTAGATCGCGTGCCACCTAGGGTAAAGATTAAGCGTAACGCGGTGCGAGCTGCGCAAAGGCGGCCTTACGCGTAACGCGCCGTGCAAATGTGGCCTATTTTCTTAGATTTGTATTTTATTTTACTTTCTGAGGGACAAAAAAGTTAGCCTATAGGCCTAAGTTTTGATTAGGGCCTAGGCCTAGACTTTTACTCTTTTTTTTTTCTGTTTTTAAAAATATTCTGCATGACCATGTCATTAAGGCGCCTAATCATTTAATTGGGCCTGCAAAAAATCTATTTTTATTATTTATTGCAGCATTGCAGATTACTGTGTAATCTTACAACCCCTGAACAATCCAAACAATCAGAGACCAAACTTAACCTAACTGATGAAGAGAGGAAAAAGATATTACACAACTTGAACACACTGACAAATGAAGATATGAGGTAAGATGCTCTTGTTTATGTACTATAATTAACATTTCTGAAAAAAACTTAATTTGGGTGTTTCTTGGTCTACCTCATTTTATTTTGCCCTGGCAGGACCTATCATCGTGACCAGCAAAACATGATAATATTTAGTTTTGCTAGTCACAGTTTCTGCTGGTGTTGCCATTACCACTTCTTTTTCTTTGGAATACTTTAAGAGAAGTGCTTTGCTGTTGTATTTCTTACTTGGTGTAGTGCTGTTGGATCCGAAGTATTCTTACAAGGCATGTGGGACAAGAATAAAGTAAAAATTAGATACTTCACGTTAGATTTTTCTCAGACATTCTTGTTCTTCATATGTATTATTTTATTGGATACATTTGCTACCACAGTGGAAGGAAAAATCTGGTTGAAAAGTTAAGTCCATTAATGTACCGAATGTAAATTTGGTCTTGAAGTAACTGACAACTTATGGCAATAATTTGATTGACATTGGCTCCTGGGACTTCACTCACACTTTACATAACACAATTGTTTCCTAGCAGCTAAAGATGGTATGGGGGTTGTCCCACACCTCAGCATTGCATACTTTGATTAAAGACACACCAGCACATTTGGAAGATTTTCAAAAGGTGACTGAGCAAGAAGTTTATTCCCTGCATTATTGTGGCATTAGCTGGTTGGCAAATACTGCTGCCCACCAAAGGGGCGCTTGACATTAATATTGTCATACAGTGTTACGCAGGTGGGCTAAACATTTATTATTCTATGAATTGCTATGTTGCTGAAGTTGAAAACAGGAATTAAAGTTAAAAAACCCTGCAACAAAATCAATTGATTGTGTGAAAGAGTGTATGAGGAATATGTTCTGTATGGCAAGTATGTCATTTATAATTAGTGTAGCTAAACCCATTGAACAACATAAGGAGAAATACCAGTGTTCCAAGCCTGTGCTACCATACTATGTAACTAAACCCATTGAATAGTATTAGGAGAAATACCAGTGTGCCGAGCCTATGTTGTTATAACCTTTTGCAAGAGCCTGCTAAGGCCTATCATATATGGATATGTTGGAAAGTTTTAAATTGCTGAATCCATACCTGAGCTGCTGCTAATAGACTGACTTAAGGTTGAATTCTGTTCTTAAGATAGATTTAGGTTATGCTGGAGAGGTGTTAAAAATGTGGGGAAAACAAGCAAAGTTCATTTTTAGATGTGCTAATGGAATATCAGGCAGAAAGTTTTTATTTTAGTTGATAGGTTGTTTGTTAAATCACAACTGAATTTGACTTTGATAAATGCAGCTCCTTACCTGGACCTGTATTTTTAAAAACCAAGGGTGCTGAAGTTTATAAAATCATCAGTTTGCTTTATTCTCTAGGAAAAGTACGTTTAGCTGACTGTGATTTGATCATTGATCAATTTTAAGGAGTTATCTGTTTGGTTAAGCTTACTTTGATAGCTACAACACACAACAGACTGGTCATTTTCATTTTATCCTTGCAGACTGTATACATTTCAAGAAATTGGTGGTGTTGAAAAAAAGTGAAGAAGAAGAAACAATTAAGGGAAATGATATTTCACTTGAAAAAATAAATTTCAAAAAATAGACTTTTCCAGTTTTGTCTAACAATGTTACATTTTTTTCTAATTTTAGGGATCGTCAGCATATCCCTTTTTCATTCTGTACCAATATTTGCCAGTACAGGGAAGCCAAAGGTACCATCTCTTCTATAGAAGAACTCATGAATATAAAAGGAATTCGTGAGCTTAGGTTAAAGCAAATCTGTGAAAAGTTGATGGCAGAGCCTGACTTGTCTGAAAAGAAACGCAAACCTGCAGCTGAATCATCACAAACCATGAAAATTGAAAACCATTTTCATCCTAAGTTGATTCTTCAAGACTTAAAGGTCAGTTATTTTGGTTGAGTGATTCCAAATTAAAAATGTAAATACATTTATATTATTTTAAAGTCAGAGACAACACCACCTAAAGATTTAGGCATACACTAGAAATTATTTTTATGTATAACATCTTCAACTATATATTTTAAATACTTTTTATTCTTCAGTAAAGACCTTATGTTACTTTTTTATTCTATGAGGGTTTTTATAATACTTTGCATCCCCTTATATTTAAAAATGTTGTTACTTCCTCCAGCTGTTGGGTGTTATTCATGAGCCAAATGGGGCCCAGTTTTCTAATGAAATTAGTTCTAAAATTAAACTAATAGTTCTGATCAAACTTTTCTTAAAGAATAAAACAAATGCTAATAATAATTAAATTTTAATTATATGTGGGACGGCATAGCCTAATGGTAGAGCGCTAGACTGGTACCCCAAAGTCTCGAGTTCGAATCCGGGTTCAAGTTAGTGGAAAGTCCCTGAGACCACCCAACTCTGATGGATACCTAACTTACATTAGGGAAAGTAAAGATGGCTGGGCATAGTGCTGACCACATTACCCCTTTATATGCGAAGGTCAAGAAACTTACGAACTCCACTTCATCTGCCCAATGGATCGTTAGGTCTAAAGAGGAATCCTCGCTTATTAATAGCACGTTTTCAAGCCTTCCTGTGTAATTTTATCCCATATTTATCAGTGTTAAAGCATGCAACCAGTTACATAATCAAGCAATTATTATTTTTTTTTTATTTCAGCATATTCCCTTTTTTTATTGGATGTTTTGCTACTGACTTTATCCCCAAAAAAATATAATTGATAATTAAATTCAAATTTAATTAAAATTTAAGGAACACAAATATTATACCACGTCTTGACTTTCTTTTCTCTCCCATAGAGCCTTACCAATGTGACCAGTGTAGAAGTCTGCTTAGATTCTGTTCACTATGCTACCATGACCAGGGATCTTGAGCTGACTCAATGGGGTCATTTTTTCTTTCCCAGCTCAAACTTGTATAAACACCCACCTACAGACATTTTTTTAGAGGTAGGACCCTAGGTTTATTTCTGATCTCAAAATTGTATAGACACCTACCTACCTACAGACATTTTTTTAGAGGTAGGACCCTAGGTTTGTTTTCTGATCTTAAAATTGTATAGACACCTAACTACAGGAAATGGACATATTTTTTTCTGATCACAAACTACTATAGTTACCCATTTACAGACAATGCTTTTTACAGGTATGACCTTATGTTTTTCACAATCGCAGAATTTTATAATCTCCCTGTTTACAGTTACAAAATTAATACTTAGAAATCAGGTAAAGTTATAAGTTTTATCAAGACTGACATTTAGGGCACCCAACTTAAGACAATAGTTATGTCTTAGTAATGCTGAAAATGTCATTGATTAGGAATCAAGAACTTGTGGAAAATGTTAGCTTCTGTTGTTTTACTTTATTAATAAATTTATAGTTACCAAAACTTAGACCCAAATATCATGTAGGAACTTGTATGTAATAATATGCAAAAAAATAAAAATGTAAACAAATGCCCTGTATTATATTTTGCTCTTTGCATATATTAATTTTGTAACTGTCTTTCTTTAAAATAACATTGTATAATTTGTTAAATAACATTGTTACAATTCACCAATAAATTAAATCTTTGTTTCCCTAACAGGCTATGGAGATAGTTGACAAACTACCTGTATCAAATATTTACCTGTTTGAAAGCCGGATGTACAAACAAGCTTCAAATTCCAACATCCAGTTTCGTTTATTCATCGGTCAGATGCAGATGGCACTACAGACTTTGATCAACAAGGACATAAAAACCAGCGGGCAGCACAAAGTATTCTACGCCAGCAACACCTTCGTTTCTAAAATATTTGACTTGGTCGTTGGTGGTGAGCGAATCAGTGGCCAGCACATCGTGAAGAAAATTGAGGATGAACAGTACACCGAGCAGGTTCATATTCCCTCACATCTTTGGAAGAGGTACAGGGAACTTGATTTGCCTCTCAGCCAAGAAAGATACTGCAAATGTTTTTTGCTGTCCTTGGCTTTTTGTCAAAGTTTTTTGTTGCCTTTAAATCGTGAAGAAAATTGAACCAATAATTGTTACCTTTAAAATAAGGTTTAGTTTGTGTAGCAATGATTTAAAATCTTTTGATATAAACTAATGTATCATACATAATACATTTCAATTAAATATTGTTTTAAGATTTCCAACAGAGTCCTTTTTTTTCTGAATAAGCTTGAGTGTTTTCTATTTTTTAAATTCAAAATCTGAATCATTTATATTGGGTGTCCTGCTTTTGCAACAGCCATAGATTTTAGAACTTTTAACTTTCTAGTGCACACAGATCAACTTTGACAGACATGTGTAAATGTCATTGTACCCCCCCCCCCCCCCAATGATCTGGACGTCACAGAAATATGTTAGTTCTCATAAAACTTACTTCTAATATACAAATTGCATTACATTTACTCAATATCAGTAACCTGCTATTTGATTAATAAATAAATAAAACATTTTAAAAGGATACCCCTATGATAAGTGAATGCTTATTTTAATGAATTCTACTTCTATGTCAACCAGAAACTGCCCAGTATACCATATACTAAATATATTTTGATGTTAAAGGAAAAGTTGAATAAGCTTTATTTTGTTAGAAAAAAGCAGCATTGGTTATTGCAGTGATTCACCTTTTTAAAATATTGTTCTGAATACTGCGACTTAACAGTAACCTTTTTTCTCGGCTGAGTGATTTATTGCTGGAGTGTTGCATGCTTCTTATAGAGTTTAACACAAAAATATTTGAAGACGTAGCTGTGTGGTATCCACTTCCTTTAGAATGAATTACTTAAAAGTGGAAAATAAAACACATTTGGCAAAAAACTACATTTTAAACTAATTAAAATGCACTGAAAATAAGACTAATTTGTTTCCTTTGAAAAAAGCAAATTACTTTGTTTAGTTTTCTTATATTTTCTTATTCTCAGTGCATTTAAAAGCTTATTGTTAAACAGGGTGTTCTATATATTTATTTTGTAAATTGCATTCTTGGTATGACTCAGGCAAATTATACTTTTTACCTGAGCACTTTGGCACTCAGTGAATTAGTGATGCATTTATTGAATATAAATAGGCACAAAGATTACGATAATCATTGAATATTTAAATGCAAACCAAATAACATAAGATTATTGCATATTTTAATAAGTATACTTTTAATCCTGTTACATTTATAAAAAAACAATTTCTCACATCAAGTTTACATCACACTTGTAAAAATATGTACACTAATAGTTATCCCTACAAATTACTGTCTTATTACTATGTTTTTTGCATTGTAACTGCCTCTTTTAAAATACAGTGATGACTTTTGTATCTATGTTAAATACAACTGTTACTTTTCTAACTAACTGCCGCTGTTGAATATAACTAGTCATCCACTAACTGACCGCCGCTGTTAAATACAACTGCTCATCCACTAACTGACCGCCGCTGTTAAATACAACTGCTCATCAACTACCTGACCGCAGCTGTTAAATACAACTGCTCATCAACTAACTGACTGCCGCTATTAAATACAACTGGCCATCCTCTAACTGACCGCTGCTGTTGCATACAAATGCTCATCCTCTAACTGACTGCCGCTATTAAATACAACTGGCCATCCTCTAACTGACCGCTGCTGTTGCATACAAATGCTCATCTTCTAACTGACTCTCCTCTAAAGGCTTGAAAGACTTCTTCTGTCTGGCTTCTCTAAGTTTCTTCAAATCATGAGCATAGTTTTGTTCCCTCAGGAGCTGGCGCTTCTGGTCTTCCAGGGTCTGCTGATGCTCGTTTAAAGCACGGGTCATCTTGATCAGTTCCATCAGCTCGTGGCGCAGCTGCCTGTTCTCTAATTTTATTTTGTTGGTGTGTTCAGAAAGACACTGAACTGCCTCCTGTAAAGCAAAAATAAATTATTGAATAGCTCAAATTGTAGCTGTTCTCTTAATTTTGGGATGGAGTGGTCTAGAAGTAGAGAGCTGGACTGCTAACCTGTAAGTCTCGAGTTCGAATCCGGGTTCAAGTCAGCAGACCGTCCCTGAGTCCACCGAACTCTGATGGGTACCTAACTCACGTTAGGGAAAGTAAAGGCGGCTGGGCATAGTGCTGACCACACTATCTCTTCATATGCCGAGGTCACAGAAACAAGTGAACTCTACTTCACTTGCCCCATAGACCGTCAGGTTTGAAAGGGAAACTTAACTACTTTTACTTTACTCTCTTAATTTTATTTTGTTAGTTGGTTTTGACTGACTGTACTGCCTCCTGTAAAGCAAAAATAGATTATCAAATAGCTCAAATTGTAGCGGTTCTCTTAATTTTATTTTGTGGTGTGTTCTGACAGACACCGAACTGCCTTCTGCAAATCAAAAATAAATTTTCAAATTAATTTTAATGAAGGTGGCGCTGAGTGGGTCACAAGTGGCAAAAAGCAAGCACAACTGTGACACATCAGGCGCATGAATGGAGGCAGACCTGGTGGCAGATTCTGTTAGAAGAACTAAAGACAGCAGGGACATCTTAGAAAACTGCAAAATATACAGCCTGGGATTGAACACAATGGTAAATTATGGTAGAGGTCCTATGGTACTCATGAAGTAAAGAGGACTAAATCAAGAGTCACTACTTCATATCCTCACTCATAAAAGTGGAGATGAAAAAAAGTACATCCCAATTTACAGTAAGTTGAACAAGCAATTAAATATTCAATTTCAAAACCAGCCTATTTTCCTAGTCAAATATCCATTAAAAATAATAATAGAGTGGGCTCAAGGACAATCTCAACATCAATTGTAACTCAACCTGTATTTAAAAAATATTGTCCCGACTTTGAAATACAGTATGCCAGGAGAAAGAAGAAGAGGAAGGCAAGGACATTAAGGATTGGAAGGGGTTGCCAGGCTTAGAACTAATCAGAGCAGCGGATGAACTAGATGGATTGCGGAGAATTATATTGTCAACTGTGGCTCCCCAATGACCCCCAATAAAGGGTTAAGGGATGATAATAATCAGTGGCGGAACTTGAAAAAAATGGCCACCCCGCAAAAAAATTTTTTAGCCCCCCCCCACCCAGATATATATATATATATATATAGATTTTTTTTTCAATTAAAACAAATTACTAGATCTACATCATGTCATGTGTGTAAGTGCATTAGTGTGTTTTGAGAAAATTCAGTTTCATTTTATCTGCAAGGGGTTCTATGAACATCTATCTTACCAAAAGAATATAAAACATGAAATCTTTGTAGAAGTAATGGTGTCTCGTGTTATGATTATTTTTATGTTTTTTTGTATTCATATTATTAATTTTAAATACATTTCCTTTTTTATACTAGGTCATTCTTTAGTAAGTACTTTATGAAAAAATATTTAGTAAGAGAATTAATTGCTTTTTTATTTGTTTAGTACAAATCTATTTAAAGGAGCTTATGAGCACCCCAATTTGACTATTTAAAAAAGGGAAATAAGTCATGGAAGTGGTTTAAGCGTTTGCTTATCTTTGTTAAGTTTAATTGTAGGAGAAAGAGGACTTGGCTTTCACAGTGGTTTAAAAACAAAGGGAAAAAATATACAACAGTGTGGAGATGGTATCTATAGAATAAAGATAATCAAACCGCAGCTATGGTAATCGTTTTACAAAACAAACATTAAGTAAAAAATTGCAAGAAAATTAGATTTTTTTAACTATATTAAAAACTATTAGGGTCGAACGTGGGCCCCTAAATGACGTGGGCCCCCCCGCATTGCGGGGTCTGGCGGCACTGTAGTTCCGCCCCTGATAATAATGATCCCTAATTTGACTTCACTTATACTTTGCATATTCTTATATATTGACAGAAGTCAGTAATTGATATCAATTAAATACATATTTGAATATCTGATTTAATTGGATGGCGTCATTTATTTAAAAAAAAAATTGTTCCAATAGGCTTACCTGGTTGGCTTTCTTTTCAAGACACTGAACTCGTTCTTCTGAGCTTTGCTGGAATTCTTTTTTTTCTCGTAGGAAGTCAGACTTCATCTGCTGGATGCATTTGGTGTGGTGCCTTCTCATTTTGACCACTTCCTCTTCCAATTCTTTTATTCTGTTCAGTTGATCTGCTTGTAGGTCCTTAATAGACAGCAAGTGAAAATTTTCTTTACATCTTGGATTTGGTTTAATTACAACTATAAAATATTTTTCTTCTGTTTGATAATAATTAAATAACTGTTAATAGCTACTGAGGTGTTTCTTCAACAGTACAAATAACGTTACTAACAAAATTTATGCTAATGGCAATCAATAATTGTTAAAATGAACATCCTATAATGCTTTAAATTTTGAGCTAAAAATAAGGATCAATTATCCTTTCTGAAACAACTTAAACTTGTATAAATTATGGTGAAAAATAAAAAAAAAAAAATATATCCCTTACGCCATTGTTATTGTAAAAGTAAATTATGTTAACATAGAGGTTCATATTTCCTAATAAGGATTCTCAATGTCTTAGTGAAGATAATCTGGTAGGGTAAGGTGCCAGGAAGTAGAAGGTGAGGGAGACAATGAAGGAAATGGCTGAATGACATCAAGGAATGGATCAGTTTGTCATTCGCAGAATCACTAAGAGCAGCAGAGAACAAAGACGAAGCATTATGAGCAGGTCAACAATGGTGCCCCAATGGGATAGATAGAGTTAGTATGCTAAATTTTTTTCAAGTGTCAAACTCTTCAGTCTACTTATACTAATTGTGATGTGTCTTACAACTCAGTGTCAAATTAATTTTGTGATTTATTAACAAAAATTGTTACGTGCCTTATACTCTTGTAAGTCATTAATTTCCTGATTTGTTTTTTCCAATAAATGTTGTTTTTCCAAAAGAAGATTTTCTAAATCTGAAATGAATCCAAGTTATAAAACATTTGTTCTATTTTTAGTCATCAATAGAGAAAATAAATATGTAAGTAGGCCTAAACTTTTTTTAAAAACAATTAGATTTATTTATATTATTTATGGAAGATTGAGTACAGCGAAAACTGACTAAAACAAAGTGTATGCCCAGTTTAAAAAAAAAATTGTTTCAATGTGTTTCCTGTGGGTTCATTTTATGGATCAGTCTGAATTTCTTTTTACTATTTGTTCATTTACTATTTTAGTCAGATTTCACTGTTCAAATGTAGGCCTACATGCTACGTAAAATGTTATTTAATTATAACGGCTAGAACTTTACTTCTCTTTTTTTTATCGAATTCTTCTTCCATTTTCTGCTTCTGTAGTTGTAGGTTTCTTATTTCCTGTTTGTTATGGTCGCTTAGGGTTATAATTGTGGTTTGTCTTTTGCTGGTTTTCTTCTCCATGTAGCTCATGTATTCATGCTAAAATAAAAATACTGGATATTAAAGCATTTTAAAAACAAAATAACAAAGGTTTTCCTGTGTTTAATAAGGTTGGATGAGAAGACGTGGTCTGGTGGTAGAGCATGCAACTGATAACCCAAAAAATAGAGGTCAAATCTAGATAAGAATTTGAATAGTGATTGCCAGAATTTTAGAAAAAAAATTAAAACAAATCCTGACCCTAAAAGCAATTTTTAAAAAAGTAATTCCTCTTTAGACCTAGCAATCTATTGGGCATATATGAAGTTGAGTTCATAAGTTTCTGGACCTCAGCATATGAAAGGGATGGTGTGATCAGCACTTTGCCCAGCAGCCTTTACTTTCCCCAATATAAGTCAGGTACCCATCATAGCTGGGTGGACTCAGGGATGCTCTACAGTAACAAGTCCAAACCAGAATCCAAACTATAGTGACCTTCAGGCTAGCAGTCAAATGCTGTGCTATTCTACCACACCATCCCAGCAATGCAGTCAGTTTAAAATAACTGGATAAGACACTCAGTTAATGTATCACTTCTACTTCTTCATTCTTAATTGTAATGTATGTTATGATTTCCTCCAACACAATAAAGTATTTTGTTTCAACCTTTTGTTCACAATATAGACAGTTGACTCTGATTTTAGCCTGCTTGTATTCTGAATTTGTTTAGATACCCTTGCCATCCAAAAACAAACAACAAGAAAACAGTTGTTTGATTTTTGAGTTTTCTCTTCTGCTGTATCCAGCTTCCAAGCATAGTTTAATCAAGAATTGGTGTACTGCTGCTTGTGTATTTACAACAATTAACCAAGTGAAGTTTCTAAGCTTTTTCCTTTATTTGCATCAGGCTTTTTCAGACTTCTCTTAAAGTTCATTTTTTTTTAAATTTATTCATGTACTTTTCTACTTGTTTTTTTTTTTTTTTTAAATTATTTACTTATTTAATATTTATACTTCCTATTTTAATTTTTATCTATTATATACTTACACTTTCAATCCTAATCTTTTGAGCTTCATTTTGCAGCCACTCATTTTCATGCTTTCTAAGAAGGGTTAACGTTAATAACTGGACATTTTGTAATAAAATCAAATTTTAATTATTTTTTTAAACCAAATCATTTTTTTTATAAAAAAATTATTATGATTTAATAATCAGTTTTGATTTTTCAAAGGATACAAATCATCAACCTTGATCTTCGCAGCCTCTAGTTGAAGTGTAACTTTTTCTAATCTGTAAATTAAATGAAAAGGTGGGAACTGCATATTATAGTGGCTAATTTCATTATGTAGGCCTATATACTATAGGCCTATTTGCTATTTGGCTTATTTAATTAATTTGGTGGCAATAATACAGATAATAATGTTATAGATGCATGCAAAGAGTTAATATAAAAATGCTTTGTTTAAGCACTTGGTAAAATAAGCAAAGCTTATGCCATGGTGCTGAAATTGGGTAGGCCTAATAACATCTTACTTTAATACTTATGTAAATGTAACTATATTCAAGCCGCTTGGGCAAGTCTAAGTAAAGAAAAACATAGCACTGAATTATCATTTTGGGTAAGAAGTAACTAATTAATTATTAAAATTAAAAGACCTTTTGTTTTGGCTACTTACTCTGCTTGAAGCAAAATTTCTTTTTCTGAAGGATCGACATTTTTTGGTGTTTCGTTTGAAACGACGGAGCCTTTTTTCCCACTTTTCTTCCCTTTTTTCTTACCACCTTTCTTACCACCTTTTTTCCCTTTTTTGGGAGGCATTATGACATATGAATCTAGATCTAGATTTATATTCTAGACCTATATATTAGTTATAGGCTATAAAATCGGCTATAGCTGGATTCTGAGGTAGAATAAAAATTATTTTACAGAGTTGCCAACCCTTTGTTTATGTTGTAACCATAACAATGAAATATCTGTTTAAGGACTCCATATTTATTAATTCTTAATTCTCAAGGTACAGTCGACATTAGTGGTTTTAGTTCTAAATTTATACATTTTCTGGGAATACAATACATAATTTACTGAAAAGAACATTGTATTTAATGTTATATGTATCCTTGTCTAGTAAAGCAATTAAATACGAAACTGAGGAATTTTGTTTTGAAAGGGAAACCACTATGCACTAAAATGTTAAAACATGGCGGCTCCCTCAAATAATAACGTCTCTACAAGTTCTAGCAAATCAGATCTAGATCTAGACGTTGAATTAAATCCTGTAAAAGATGAAGAGTTGGATTTTTTTTCCGCAAATTTCAACCCTGAACGTGCATTATTTTCAGATAATATTCAGGTTCCACATCCTGAAATTAAATCGTTTACTGGCGTTTCCACTTATCAAGAAGCAGTTGAACGCCGCCGACTGCTTAAAAAGAAAGTTGAAAGCGCAAGTCCAAAAACTCTGGAATCGCAGACGGTTGAAGCAAAAAAATTAAATCCTTCAAAAACTGTTAAATCTAATTCAGCTGAGACACATAGGAAAACATTAACTTCATTACCAACGCATCCAACAGTAACAACTGTTACTGAGTCAGTTACTGACCTAGGGCTCCAAAAAAATGTTACAAAAAAGGTTTGTACTAACTTGTACTCATGTACTGTAACTGACTGTAACTGTGGTTCATTAGTGGTTACTAGACTAGATAGTGTAGTTTAGGAACAACAATGTCGCACCCCTTGCGGTCTAAAAATCTTGCTGTTAAAGAAATTAGGCCTAAACTTTATTAGCCTAGGCCTAATAATAAGATTTAGGCCTAGCCTAAGAAGTAAAAGTTAAATTATTTTTTAATTGACCTCTAGGCCTATATAAAATACTATAAGAAAACTTAGCAGGAAATTAAAGCCCAAGCTGGTTCAGTTTTATATAGGCCTAACTGAAATAATTTAGTTTAAAAGCCCTGTGATTAAAATCCAGAAATATAAGCAGGCTGATGTCGGAGTCGACCTGCTATATGGCAATTCTTAAGGCAGGGCCTTCTATGTTGGATGAAGGAAGTGGCTATTCAGACTAGGTTCCAAATAGCCACTGCCACAATAGGGACCCGTGTCTGTATAGCAAATTAGCATCGGACACTATCAGGACCCTATTGCTGCGGGCACTATTGTGATCCAGTGTAATTATTTTTATTATTAGTTAAATTTATTTTTAGTTAGGCTACGTATTTACAAAACCTGTATTAAAATGTGTGGAAAATCAGATTTAAATTTTTTTTTGTTATTTACTTATCTTTCATGTTCAAAGCTTTCTATGTTGAGAGAATTTCAAATACATATAATAATAAAAATTTTGTTAAATTTTGAAGTCAATATCACGCCAGACTCCCAATGAATCTATTCCTGATTTGAAACCTATCTTTACTTTTTTTGTTTGTTTGGTATTACCTTAAAAACCATAAGAAAAAATATGGCATATATTATTTAAAAAGCATCTGACCAGTCACATGGCTAATTCACGCTAGAAATTTTGGTCTGCATTCTATCCTAGTTCAGTGTTATTCTCATTTTCAAAATGGACCTGTATTCAAAACTTTTGCATCCATTGAAGAAAAGCTTGTGATTTTTTTCAAAAGAAAATACTGTTCGCTTCACAAAAAGGCCCTCAGAAAAAAAATCAAAGATCCGAATCTGGATCATTTGAAATATAAATATCTTGTATTATGTAGTAAACAAGGTACCAACTGACATGGAAAAACTTCTACTGGACAAAGAAAATCACAGTGGTAAGTACCTCTATTCTAGATCAAGATTATTGTAAAATAAAGATGTTTAGCAGTTATATAGATTTACATTTACAGATTTTGAGAACAATCAAAATCCATAAGGGTACTGTTAGATTTTATAAATCATGTGTAGTGTTTTGTCTTAGTAAAAAGTAAAGTTTCCCTTACAAACCTGACGGTCTATGGGGCAAGTGAAGTAGAGTTCACTTGTTTCTGTGACCTCGGCATATGAAGAGATTGTGTGGTCAGCACTATGCCCAGCCGCCTTTACTTTCCCTAACTTGAGTTAGGTACCCATCTGAGTTGGGTGGACTCAGGGACGGTCTACGTCTTAGTAGGCCTACTCTAACTTTTTAAAAATTTGTTAAGGATCCAGTGTCCGGTCTAAATATTTGTAAGGAGACAATTAATTGGTTCTTTGCATACTTATTTAAATAATCCACACTAAACAATGATACTTTTTAAGTACTTATCTCATTTTTTTAAAGTACATTATACTTGTGCTTGTTGTATGTCAATCTACACTCAAAGCAAAGGCTCTATTTTACTACTCATTTCTCTTCAGTTCTTTCAAAGTGGGATGTCCTACTTAAATAAAGGTGGTTGCAAAAAGAGGACCTTCATGGCTCAAAATTACCATTCAACATACTGGACATCTTGTATTCAAAGAGGTCAGTTTAGCTTACTCTTTATTATTCAACATGACTTGACTGTTGTCTCCGTCAAGTTATGGTCTCCAACATCAGGAAATCTTTTTTTACAAAGTGGTATTTAGTTTAGTATTTGATTCTCCTTTGCTCATTTGAGTGTAGTATTACAGGTGAAAAGAAACAATACTCTTGTTGCATTATACCTTTACAATGTTTTTAATAAAAAACATTATTTTCCAGATGTGTCACCTGTACCCAGAGAACGGGAAGGAAAGTGCACTAGATGATGCAACATGCATGTTGGTATCTCTGAATACAATCCAGGCATTTGAAGTTCAAGTTCAACAAGCACTCGAGGAACACATTGGTGGAGACTTTTTACCCAGGGATATTTACAACCTAAAGGCTAAAATTCCAAAGAAATCCAGTACAGATGCAGCTCAGACTGGGAAAATTTTAGAAGATCCATCTGCAAATGGCAGTTGTGTGTTGTAAGGGTTTTCTGAAGATGGTAACTTCAAGTACTAGGCTTACATGACAAGTGATATGGCGAGAGTGTTACATGTATCCATTCCTGACTCTAATGGCCATAGAATGTAGGGTTATACCAGTTCTTCATGGTTTCATCCAGAATGAAGACAGGGGCTCAATCGCACATTGCTTGTCACTGTTAAGTAAACATTGAAGTCAACAATATCAAATCTTTTATTATAGTTAAAGATCTGTTGGAAATATCAGCACTAGGTGACTTATTTCCTGGCATGTCCGTTAATCTATGCCACTTTCATATCATGCAGGCATTTAAGAAAAAATATACCCTCAGACCAGGTCCATCCAATTTTTTATACCTTCATGACACAGGTCCACACAGAATCTGTCAGTGATTTTGATGCAATCACACAAGACATGAAGGCCTCACTCCCTGAAAGTGTGGTGGAGTATTTTTCAACCAACTGGTAGAGCAAGGCACATCTGTGATTGGCTTCTGCAAATTCAAATGTTTTGTAGCTCCATGCAACGACGACGAACCATCTGGAGTTGTATCACACATAAATAAAAAAAAATGTTTAATGCATCATTTGCCATTCACATCTGCATTGCAGAAGCTTTTGACCTTTGACAACTGTAAATGCTGCTAGCTGAGTGTGTTAGTGTGAAAGCAGCAAATACTGTGCATCATACGTCTTCAGAGTATGATGAGTGTATAAATCAAATGGAGAATCTGGCCACAGCTTTTGCTGCCTTGCTTATGATTAGTCAGCTAAGAGCATCAAGGCGTGTACAGTACTCCTTGAATTCAGAAGACAAGAACAAGTTTAACCATTAATCTCCCATAGCATCTCCAAGTTTACCAACTATGGAGTCCCAGCGTAAGGGGAATAACTCTAAATGATTAAATGACTAATTTTACAGCAATCAATAAAACTCATTTCAGTAAATAACTAATTAAATTTAAAAAAATCTTATATTGTAGAGAAATGAATGCTCTAAAAACTGATACCAAATATGTCAGTATTTAACATATAGGTATTTGCAAAAAAAAAAAATATGTCGGAGAAAATTCAAAACAGGTCATTTTCGGTAGTCAACTTTATTTATTTTTGTCTAAACAACTATGCATCGAATTTAACAGTTAAATATCAATTTGGTTATGTTTAAGATATATAATTCATAAAATACATGCCTAGATACGTTTAGAGGCATTATTTTATTTTATTTTTAATATTAAATCTATCAAAAATAGGACAGATGAGTCTAAAATTTCGAGATAGAAAGAAACTATTATTTTTTATCTTTCAAAAGCGCCATTGAAATTAGAAGACCGGAAAAGGATGCTGAAAGTATCCGACTTCCTGTTTAGTTAAAAATTAGGATTTGTAGGCCAAATTTTAATGAAACAAATTTAATTTTTCTATGCGTATTGTAAGCGGGCGGCAGCGGGCGTTACGGGACATTAACGGTGTCGGGCGGCAGCGGGCGTTACGGGACATTAATGGTTAAGGTTGTTTTTAAAGAACAAGTTTTTGTAACGACTAACTTCCACTCAGTGCAGCTGCTCATTTGTTGTTAAAAAGACATTACCATGTAGGCAAATTTTTGTTGTGCGGTGATCATTATGTCTTCCAGAATTTTGTCCTGAGCTACTGCCACATTGTTTTTTTAAAAGTGGCCCACCCATAGTTACATCATTTGCCTTTTCTATGGTTGACAGGCAATGCCTACCTTCTCTGCAAAAAATACACAGTAAGGATGCTATGTTGAAGCAAAAACACTTTGTATGGACATTGCCAATTTTTTGGCAGTGCAAGGCCAGCAAGATTTCAAAGACAAAATGAGATTTTTGGAAACAACTCTCAGACTTTGGAGGTGTCCAACGAACGTGGATGATGAGCAGGATCCAGCTGTAGATGTTGGTATCATGATAAGAGCTGGTTTAGATTGTGATGGTAAATCTGATGGGTTGGGGGGGGGGGGGGGTATTAACCACACAAGCAGTCTTAGCACAAGACGTTGACATTGAAATGATGGTAGGGGGTCGGTGTGGTCGAGTCAGTAAAGCTCATGGCTGCTAAACTGTAAAGTCTCGAGTTTGAACCCTCGGGCAGATGATACTCGTTAGCTGGGGACAGCCACTCTTCTAGGAGAGACCAACTCCACAATCAATCAACTGCTGACTAGTAGCTTGTTCTTGGTTGGACAAAGGCTATGGAAGCAAATACAAAAAGAAAAGCAGGCTGAAATTGGAGTCAATGGCCTCAATCCCTTCCAACACTAAAATTAAGAACAAAGAAAAAGAAGAAAGAAAGAAATGATGGTCCCACCACAATAAGTGATTGCTATTTTGATACTGCAAGCTCAGTGTTTGGAAATATTGTTTTAGACAAAGCGTTGGCCATGACCAAAGCTGCTCTTTACACTGCGCAAAAGAAAGACACAGTTGCCTCAATCTGTCTACCAATCTAGTCTAGAAGTCGGGAAATCTCAGAGCATATTGTCTTTAATTATGAGTACAGATATTAAAATGCCTTTGTAAAGATGATTTTAAACCTGTTGGGGAATTCAAAGGCACTGTGTTTAGTTATTGTATAGTCATAGAGTCTGCATTTACTAAGGATGCCTGGTTTTTTTTTTCAAAATAGGATGTCTGCACAAAAGAAAAATCATGTTTAGATCTTATGAGTGCAATGAGTTTGATGACAGTGTTTTAAAGATGGTTTTGTGTGATAGATGTTTGTGTTGGTACTAGTATCCTTGTGTTGGTTTTAGAGCGAAAAAGTGTGTAACTGCTTGGTTTTGTAATAATTGTTGGTTGGTCTCTTAACTTTTCTGTACTTTAATGTTTTCATATTTTTTTATTTGCATTTTTTTTTATTAAAGAGCTTTTTCTATTGAACTGCCATACTGTGTCTGTTTTTACAATTACACTTGCTATCATCTGTTTCCAGAATATGTTGTGTAGGTTTGTTCTATATATATATACTAGCTGCATCCCATGCTCCGCCACGGTAAATCTTTTTAAAATATACCAACTTTGGAACAGAACAAAACAAACAAAAACACAACACAAACACAAACAAAACGCAACCACAACACAACCACATTACAACCACAACACAATCACAACACAACCACAACACAACCACAACACAACCACAACACAACCACAACACAACCACAACACATGGTAAATCTTTTTTAAATGTACCAAGTTGGGAACAGAACAAAACTAAATACAACACAAACGAACGCAAAGAAAAAGCAAAAACGAAAAAACAAACACAACACTCAACATAAACTCAATTTAAATGTAATCATAAAGGCATATTGCTCACAGTCTATCCCGTAGCGCCAAATCGCGCCCTTTCCGAGCGCCGGCGGAAAATTTCGATTTACACCCTCCCACCTCCCTGAAACTTTCGATTTCCACCCCCCCCCCTCTTGCTACGCCTCTGTTATAAAACCCCTAGCTTTTCCGCAAATAAATTAAAGTCAGTATTAAGAATATCAGTGTTTTACCGACCATATTGCACTTTATAAATTCATGCATTTTTTTCAGTACTTTTAAAAATTTACAATAAAGTTTCATGACTAAAACCATTGCGCACCTAATGAACGTGATGACTTAACCATTAATGGAGAATATGTAATGGAGAATAGTTGATTAAAAATTATAATTAGTAAACAGTACATTCAGTGAATAAAATAAATAAAAGATAGCCTTTTATCAATCAATGCTAATAATAATATTCCAACAATAATGTACTCTTACACGTCTGCATAATTTGCATTCACATTTTGCTAATTATATTATTCCAACAATTATTCCGTCTTGCAGATTTCGCATTCACATTTTTAGCGTGAGTTCAGTTTGTCTTTGAATTACCTCCATTGGCAAAATTACTAAGAAGTTTAATTAGATTTTTCTACCGTACTGTTATTATGTTATTAATATGTATCCACTTTTTCTGGGAATATTAACGAAAACGATATTTGACATTGATCCTTTTAATATGTTTTAGCAATGTGCGTGTATTTAATATTCTCTTTACGTTATGCAAAATTGTACAAACAGTGGAAATTATAAAATAGCTCTATGCCGTTATATAAAGAAACCCTACTCTATTACCTATAATAAGACACTGCGGTGCACTGAAAAGCACAGCATGGTGCGATGTTTACTTTTATGGTTCCAAAATCTATAGCGATGACAGAAGGAAGGACTGACACACGCTCAGCCCGCTTATATTATAGATATATAATGTATATATAATACACTTTTTTATTACAATAGTAAAATAAATAATATATTAAACTTTAAAAATTTGTTGTGTCTAGTTATACTAAGGTGTTTTTATTTTAATTGGATCACTAAGAAAGTGGATAAATGTTCAGCATGCAAGTGCTTTGTATTAAAATTCACATGCAACCATTTTAACCCAATTTTAATGGAGGGCAAAAAACACATCACCTACTTACTGCTTACAAAATGACTAAGATTCTTTTATTGCACACTTTATATTAAACTATCAATTAAAAGGAGAAAACGTCATCTTTTTATCTAAATCAAATTTAAAGTTACATTCAACCTTAAATGTCTGGTAAAAGATAGGGTGGGGTGAAACCAAAAAATTACAATACTGTAATGTAAAACAATAAATAAATCGTAATACCACAACTACAGACCTACATTTAATATATACTCTGTAAAATAATTCTGAGTTGTATTGGTAACAAAGATAAAGGTCAATACAAATCCTGTGTCTGAATTACCTATTGCATCGTGAACTAAAATAACTTTGTGGGATTTGAATCCTTATCTTTTGATTGTGGTACCATCAAGTTAGCCACACTGACACAGAGATATTAGAATTATAAATGTCTAAGTTTAGTTACAGGTCAGGAAACATAAAGACAGTGTCATTTTGACTTCATAAGTATAGAGGAAACACAATACAGCAGCTATATTAATAACACAGAAAATAAGGTGTATTAGACAGAAGGGTATAGAATTTAAACCACAAATAATATACATCCAAATAAACATTTTAGACTATAATCGTAAGAAAATAACAAAAATTGAATTTTTAAAACGTGAAACTTAAAATCTGCCTTAAAAATGAGGAGTAGACATAGCCATTTATTTTTTAAATAAAAAGTTTTAATAATACAGTACTGATTGTTATCTATCTTTTTAAGCAGTGTTTAGTGAGCATGTATAGAAAATTTTAAAGAAATATATCAAGTACATATTGAGATAAAGGTTCCTAACCAGTTCTATTTTGAATCTTGATAAAAACTGACATTTTAAGAAAAATAAAAAGTAGTTAAAATATGTGATTTTTGAGAAAAATGAGTAGTGAAAACTATACAAATAAATTAAATTTTAAAACCTCCCGGTAAATAAAAGTGTCATCTGGGGACTTCTTACTTAGCAGATTGTTTTTTTTATTTTTAGGTTTCTTTTCAATATTTGTGGACAACGTGCTTGAAGGACCCCTAAATTTAATAAATATTTCACCAGGTAGAACAAACATCCCTGTCCACGAACAGCGTAAAAAACTTGGAAGAACCAAGAAAGAGTAAAGAGCGATTCAAGAGTCCTTCTATTCCTTCTGCAAGCAGTTCTGAGAGTAAAGTAGACAGCCAGCGCAATGTTTTTACAAGAATGGAAAATTGTAAGTTCAGGATTTTTTTCAATAAAATATAATAAATCCATCTTAATCACATCAGTTTAATACCTCTGTTTTTTTTTTTCTTCTTCAGTTACTGGTCCCTTAAGTATGCTTACACGTTGTGTACAGGAACGTTTACATGTTAGAGTAAAGACAAGAGGTGCAGTGTCAGTTAGGAGCATTTGTAGGGGTTACATTGTGGCTTTTGACAAGTATTTCAACATGGTAAGTTCGATAATCAAGACCTTGTAGGTAAAGAAAATAGAATATATTTAAAGTTAATGTTTTCACATTTTAATTTTTTAATTCACTTTATTTTAATTCAAGCTAAATACACTTTTGCTGGATATGAAATCTGATTTTTAAATATAAAATTTATTAGTGATTTGTTTTGTTATTACTAAGCTTTAAAATGTGACATTCAAATAAATCCATCAATTTGGTTTTAATTAAGACTTTAAAGTAAAAAAATACCTGTTCTAAAAGGTGTAAAAATGTTCTTCAAAATTATTTAGAAATTTTGGTTTTAAGATCAGACTTGAATCTTAATCTCTGTGCTGATGTATTTGATCATGGTTAACCTTTACAGCATCAACCTGCCCTTGTTTCCCTCAACCACAGATATATTACAATACATTAGTTTTTTCAATACTAGAGATTATTTTTTTTCATTTACCCACATTCTCATATGATTAAAAAAAAACTAGGAAAAATTTTGTTTGGACAAGTGATAGTGACGTGTGAGAAACTATATTAGGAGAATCGAATAACAAAGTAGAAAATAATATGTGAAGATCTGCATCAAGACTAAATCAAATAGCTAAACATATAAGTTGTTAATCAGATTCTTGTCCTCAATATTTTTACCTTAGTTATATGTAGGTGTAGGTCTCTTCAATTAATGTACATCCTACTTATTTTCAGACTCATCTAATTCTAAGTAATTTTACGATTTTGTTAAAATTTCTGCGAAAATGTATATTAACATGATTTAGATTAAGAAGCCTGAAGGTTACATTATGGTTTTAATCATACTCTTGATTTTTTTCAGGCCCTAATTGATGTTGATGAGATCTACAAAAGACCTGTAGCACTTGGTAAAATTAGAGCAGTAAGTTACACTTATCTTTCCTCAACCAAAAGCCTTAACACAGCTTTAATTTACTTAAACCAGTATAATTCTTTTACAAATATAGAAACTTAACTAAATAACTAAACTAAATGAAACAAGGGGTCGGCGTGGTCGAGTCGGTAAAGCTCATGGTTGCTAAACCGAAAAGTCGAGTTCGAACCCTCGGGCAGATGAGGCTCATTAGCTGGGGACAGCCACTCTTCTAGGAGAGACAACTCCAAAATTAAACAACTGCTGCCTTGTAGTTTGTTCTTGGTTGGACAAAGGCTATGGAAGCAAATCCAAAAAGAAAAGCAGGCTGAAATCGGAGTCAATGGCCTCAATGGCGCATAACCAGTTGACACGTAACGCTTAATTGTGTTGGAGGCGTGGTCGAGTCGGCAAAAAGCTTATGGTTGATAAATTCGAACAAAGTCTCGAGTTTAAACCCACTGGCAGATAAATCTCGATCCCCTTCAACACTAATAATTAAGAACGAAGAAGAAGAAATGAAACAAATAATGAAAACTAAACAAGCTTTAACTAAACAGAATTTGTAAATAATTTTTTGTAACTTTTTCAATGTAGAGAATATCCCACAAGCTTTTGGCTGCTAAAGGTACCCTCGAGAAAGAAAGAGATGAGTACGCTACAAAATATAAACTGGAACTGTCTGCTTCAAATGTAGATGTAGCAAAAGCCAGTGGAAGTTTGCAAGAGCTCAGGATAATACCGGACGTTAAAATCACAGATTTGCATAAAATCCTGTCTACTGTATCCCAAAAGGAAAATGAAGCCCAGATGCAACCCTCATCTCAGTTCACTCAGCCTGCTAAGGGAGGCGACTCATTCACAAAACTCAAGGAATGCCACTCCACCATAAAAAATACTCAAACCACCCTGAAACAAACAGGCTCTGGAGTAGCAGTTGTGGTTAAGGATATTGACAAAAAGCTACGGCGAATACAAAGTATCTATGCTGAGTTGAAAGCCCCGCTCTCACCTTTTGAGAGGGAGGCATTGATGTTAGGTGTGCCGGATGAGAATGTTTTAATCAGACATTGCAATCAGATGTTCGTCAGGGGAGATAATGTGGTATCCGTTTCGATCATTGACGATTTTTAATTCTTTGTTTCACTCACTCTGGGCAGCTTGTATTTAATTTGTTGAATTGGTTTTGTTAATGATTTGTTATATTTGTTGATCAGATACTTTATTTGAAAAGTATTTTGTTATTATATAATTTAATGAATTAATAAAATGTTTCTGTGGAGGTACTGACTTTAAAAATACAAAATTTCTTTGTACTTGCAATTTAACCTAAGTTGAAATGGATCTTTAAAATTACAATGTACCAATACCTTGTTACATTGTTGTTATTATTTCAGGGAATTACATTCTTACATCATCTTTTCAACCAAATGTGTTGTTAAATTATCTTTTTAACTGATACTCATATCGGGTATCAATGTTTGTCCCGCATTGTTGATATATTTTAATCCAAGTGCAGAAGTCACAGTTGCATAATTTTAATATGTGGCTGAATTTGTTGTACATAGTTTTGTAACAAAACTGTACATGTTTAAAAAAGTTAATTGTTTTAAAATAAATTCAATTTAAAAAAAAATATGTTAATAAAAAGTGCATTTAAATATATCCCCCAAGTTGTCTCTTTATTTGGAATTTTCCCTTTGTTATCAAATTTTATTGTATGTTTCCTAGCTTTGTAATGTTTACATTATTTAATTTTATTGTGCTGTGTTTTTTTTTTTTTCGTTCATATTTACTTAATCTTATTGTTTGTGAGTTTTGTGTTTACAGAGTTTATTATGTTGAAATTTTCATTATCTTAATTGTTTTACCATGTGTTCAATTGTTTTCTTTTGTTAGGATAAGGCTGCTAAAGGTTTCTGTAAATATTGTTGTAAAATAATTTAAAATTATTTTAGTTGAGAATGTTAAATATTTGTTAGTTTTCTTACCCACAGAAATTTTCCCCCTCATCTTATAAATTTATTTTAGTATAGAGGTAATCTAGATAAAAATTAAAATTGAAAACACATTTTTCATGTCATCTGACTGCAGATGCGGCCAATATAATTTCCCACAGATATCCTGTATGATGATAATAAACAAGCTAAACAGATCTCATCTCCAAATATCCTGTTAAAAAATAAAATGCACACATTTTTTTTTAAAATAATTTTTTGCTGCTGATCAATATCCCCTGCATTAGTCTGAGGATGCCCCAACTCATCTTTGCATATCTTCTGTATTCGTCCTGTTCCTGTTTGGTTCCATGCTGAATCCAGACATACATGCCTTCAAGAAACAAGTTTGTTTGGCAGCCTGAAAACGGAAATGAACTTTTCAAATAGCTTCCCCTTTTGTGGGAGACAGGAGGCTTCATGTAAGCTTCGAATGTGATGCTACCGGGAAGGGAGGTAATCCAGTTTAAGAAGTTATTTTATTATTATTCCTATCTCCGCGCGAAATCTGTGTGCTGAAATTTTTAATACTTAACGCCGTTAGGGAAAAAGATGTACCTTTTTATATACTTTTAAAATAATACATATCCTTCTTTTTAAAGGAAATTTGTATATCATTTAAAAACTTTGCCATGTTGGATTAACCACATCTATGTGATTGTTACCGCTACTAGATTTACTTGTAATAGATTTGTGTCTTTAATAATTTAAACATTTAGTTGTAGAATTTTAATATTATAATGGATTGCAACGGTGTTAGGAGCAGGGTTTCTTCCAGGCATCTACCCCCCCTCCCGAACGACATCGAATTTATATAGAAAATATATAGGCCTACTTTACCAGTGTCCGCCCCACCCCCCCTGAAAATATCAACCCCCCAGTGTCTCCACCCCTACCCCCTCCGATATCAGGAAATTCAAATACGCCCCTTCCACCCCACCCCTCGGAGAAAAGTGTCTGAAAGAAACTCTGTCTGCATGTATATATCAATCACATAAATAAACAAATTAACTGTACTGCAATTTACCATACATACTACAGGCCTGAAAGGTAATACGATCATCATATTCTTAACATTAAAAAAATGTTGAAGAAATTTAAGCCACAGCGGGAAAAAATATGGTTAGAAACCTTAAATAATTTTGTCAAAACTTACAAAAAGATATAATTTATTGTCTTATCAACACATTAATTACGTTCTCTGTTTTAGCAAACTTTGATTGATTATTTTAATAAAGCAATGCTAGCGCGCGGTAATTTGTTTTACGCCAATGTAGGCGTGTCTTGTGCTGCTCATAATTGCTCTTTTTTATTATAACTTCAAGTTTCTATTTTCATCTCACCCTGCCTTAGTGCTGATCCAATCACAGGTTTTGGATCGCGAGATATTAAAAAGCCGTCGTTCAAAAATACGAGTGTATAAAATAACGGTTTCAACGCATTTGTTTTAATTAACAGAGGCGAATCAGATTCATGAAAGAAAACAAAAAAAAAATTTGTAAGGATGACGTTAGGTTAACATGACAACATCCAATTTAGGGGAGGGAATCGTGGGTCAGTTGACTGGCAGGAAATCTTCGGTCATGAAAGAAGAAAATTGACCAGAGTTACCGGACGTATGCGCTACATGTTTTAATCAAGACCTATCATATTTCTATAGGGTTGTAATGAACGATTTCTTAGGTTTTCAGATTTTTTTTTGTTTCGCTGTTTGGGGAAAACTGATCATTCCGAACGTGTGGGTGTTTTTAAAACGTGTCTTTTAAGTTTAATTTTGGTAAACTGTAGTAAAATTGGAAAAAGAATTTCGCCACAAACAAAATAAAATTATGGAGTTTTATTTTTCTAAGAGAAAAAAAAAAGTTTGCTACAAACATTGTTGAGTGAAGTTTTTAGATTAAGGAAAAATTATGCTTATAAGCCTATTTACTACAGATCAGTGTTTCTTTCAGACTTTTTTCTCCGGGTAGAGGGGGAGCGGTGGGCGGACACTGGTAAAAGTATATATTTTCTATATAAATTCCATTTCGTTCAGGGGGGGGGGGGGTAGACTTTCTTCAAGGGGAGGAGGGGGCGGAGCGAAGAGATGTCTTGAAGAAACTCTGCTACAGAATCAAGCCTTAAAATGGAGCACAGTTTTAGCTACTGTACACATAAAACCATAAGAAAATTTAGGTTTCATTTCTAATTTAAAAAAAATATAAATCTTTCATACCCGACGATCAATAAAGCAGTTGAAGTATAATTTATCTGATTTTGGTGACCACGGCATATGAAGGTATAGTGTGGTGTGGTCAGCTCTATGCCCTTTACTTTCCCATATGTAAGTTCTGCGTTCTGCCGTCCCATATTAACATTAAACCTAGTTCCAAAACTTCAACTGCCAACTCGAATACAAGTACTCTCCACTTCAAAGAATAATCAATTAGGGGTAATCTAATGGCAGAAATGGATTGGCTGGTCAATTTGTTGTTTCCTAATTAGCCGGACACTCGAAGACGTCCAGTGGCACTCGAGCCACAACGCTAAAGCTGATATCATGGCCGACAACTCTTGTCAACTATCCTACAGCCGGCTTCATGACCGGTAACTCTGTCACCTACCGTGACAGCCGGGTACTTGGAGGAAAATCCGTTGTCACCAAATCGGAAGTAAGTCCCGGCTTACCCTGATTAATTGTATTTAATTCTGGCTCTTGCGTTCTTTAAGTGGGGGATAATTGAAGCGGTAGATGTCTTCAGCGTTATTCTGGGGTTGTTCTTTCTGATTAGAGTTGTCGGTCCTTAATTTATCTGATCTACCAGGGCTAGTTGTTAATTTTACATAAACCAATTACTATTATATATATATATATATATATATATATATATATATATATATATATATACATATACATATATATATATATATATATATATATATATATATATATATATATATATATATATATATATATTGGGGTCGTTGTGGCACCACTGCTGTTTTTCTCATAACTTTTCGCCTTTTATTCAAGTCCTCTGCTGCTATGGATGGCGCTTAAACGGGCAGCCCAGTTCAGCCTTTGATCATCTATCGAGAGACGTTTTTCATTTCTTCTCCATCCTGGCACAGTGCCTTGCATTATTGTTTTAGATAAGCCTTTGTTTCGTGTGACACTCTCATAACATCTCCGTTTTTTATTGTTTTGACTGGGCTCAGTAGAGTCTCAAAGGGACCAATCACATTAGTGATCTTTTCACGGACTTCTTCGCTGGATATTCGATTTCTCTATCAGATCCCTAGTATATATATATATATATATATATATATATATATATATATATATATATATATATATATATATATATATGTATATATATATATATATATATATATATATATATATATATATATATATATATATATATATATAAACATATAAATATATAAATATATACATAAATATATATGTATATATACACACACACATATATATATATGCATGCATGCATAAATATATATATATATATATATATATATATATATATATATACATATATACATATACACACATATATATATATATATATATATATATATATATATATATATATATATATATATATATATATATATATATATATACACTTGTAATATACATGTAATATATTTAGTATGTTTGCTGCATCAGTGTGTTTAGCATACCTACTTAGTTCCTGTATAACTAATGAAACAACAACTAACCAACGCTGGGTAAACCTTACTTTATACAAACAAACAAAGCAGTCTCCGGCCGTGTTATGTAAATGAGCTGTGATCACGCAATGTTGTCAGCTATTGGAGAAGATGAGTTTCTCCCTGGATCGGTAACTTGGTATACTTCCTGGTGGTCTGGTGTAGTTTGTAGCGGCTGGCCTTTAGTTACTGACATCGACAACAACAGCAACAAAAAATAGCTGGCCACTGCGTGTTTTAATTTGGTCCTTAGCCGTCAATGTGTTGGGTCTTGTACTTTTTTCGCTGTCAGTGAGGTAGATGAGGTAGATAATACGTGATCCTGTGATTTCAGCCCATGGAGGAATGATGTGTTTAGCCTTAGGATTGACTTTACTTTATCTAACGTGAGGTAGGTACTTATAATAGTTGAAACCACAAAGGGACTTCTAACGGTCTCGAGTCCGGAATTGAACTCGAGACTTTCAGGTTAGTAGTCGTGCGCTCTAAGTCTCAACTATGCTGTCACAATAATGGAAGTTGTATCCTTTAATTTTAATCATACCGTCAAATAGCTTTAGTAAGGTTACGACAGTTGGGTTATTTTAAAAAAATTTAATGCATTTTTTTCATTTGTGATTTTGTTTTTGGGATTTGTGGATATCATAAACGTTTTTTTCCTTTAAATAATTATTTTTTAAGTGAGATTTTTTGTTTACAAATAATTCCCGCAATCACCACTCTCTATGTTTACTACTATTTTTCAGAAATTAAAAAATTGCAATGTTTTACTACCCTTCCCTCTGGTCTTATAATTTACTCAGCATCATTGTAGTTCACCATTGAACTACATGCAGCTTTGTTTATCACTGTCTCCAAATATTACATGACGAACAAACAATTTTAAAGCAAACAACCGCCAATGAATGACCACTTTATGCGAAGAGAAGGGGGCGGGGGGATGTTATAGAACTA